CTAGGTGATGAACTTTCCTACTTTTCTTTTAACACATCGTAAGTACCAGTACTCGTTACATCCCTCTTTTATCTTTCACCTGTAGTCGCAAATATGCAGTGAAAAGGATCTTTATAAAATATGTAATATAAAGACAAAAAACAAAAGGATTAAAAAGCCCTTCCTATAAAATGTCCAATACAAAAAATTGGACAGGATTGATTTTATGTTAGAATAAATAGAATGTCATTCAGAAATAAGAGGATTAGTGGCCAACTGTAAACGAAACTGTTTATCATAAAAGGGCTTTACTGGAGCTTTTCTTTTTCGAAGTTACGTTTTAAAAAAATCGACTGCAGTCAGTCGTTTGTTTATGTGCATTTCTGTTTCGACTGACTCAAAAGGCACATTTTATTTCTGTTGCAAATTAAGCGTTAGATAATTCTTCCATTACGATGTTTTACGAAAGAAAGCAAATCTCCTGAATCGTTAAATTTTCACTGTGTGTGTGTAATTCTGTTGCAGGAGCAAGCCAGAAAAAGCGAAATTTTACTGATTTTCAATGATATTTGCGCTGTTTCGGGTGATACTAGGTTTGCATTAAACAAATTTCATCATGGTTCTACGTTGTTATATGTTTGTCAAATGTGCACAGTTGTGATTTTCGTGCTGCATAACAATAATAAGAGACCAAAGAATGTTGTGTGTCTGAAATTTTTGTTCATTTTCCGAGATTAGCCACAGTTAATGACAAAACTGGGCCCTTGATTTACTGAAATAGGCATAGGATTGTTTTGGGCTTTTCTGTAAAAGACTGGAAGGATAGGCTCAGTTTCATCCTGTTGTTCTACCAGTAATCTTTCATATTTCTCCGGTATGAATTTCTTTTTTTATTTGTTGCTTGTCAGACATTGTCCTTTCTCATTTGCAAAACTGCAAAAACGGTGCACAGGAGCACAGTTTTGCAGTGGCTTGTGTGAGCTATTCCTGCTTAATGCGACTTTGCTGGCAGTCATGCTGCAGTGGTAAATAGCTGTGCTCTCACAATAAAAGACGGATGGAGGTTCGATTTTGCTGTTGGGCAGCCATCCGTTCCACGACTCGCTTGTTCCTTCGGATGGTATGTTGGTACTCGCACATGGTAGACAGTCAGGACCACCACCAGTTTACTTTTGTGTTAAGGTGTATTTATCAGCATCTTTAAAAAAAACTAAGCTGATTGATAGCACTTGTTGTTACTCCAGTTATTTCTGAGTGCTTCCGTTCCCATCGACGGTGAACAAAGGAAGCTTGATTTTGGGCTTAAAATATTTATCAGGCTTGTTGGTATAGCCGGGTAGCTTTTAAAAGTGCAGCAACTGTTAATTTTTTTGATATTTT